CTCTCCTAGATAATTATATTATTGTTATATTTCGGATGGTTAGGTTTATGCTTAAACTCATTTTGTAATGTAACTCGGTATGGGACGGGTTAGCGTTGAGTTATTAATTTTAATTGAATTTGTAAGACTTCCGCTGTAATAAGGCTTTATTAGCCACTATATTTTGGGGTTATTTATTGTTATTTAATGAGAATTACGTGACACAACTCATGGTGAAAATGAGGGTGTTACATGATCTAACATGTGTTTATTGTGTTTGTCTTTTTAGTAACAAACCCACTATTTTTATACAAGAGACTTGATATTTATAACAAGACATAGGTGGTGTTAAAGTACAATAATCATTTTTTAATCTTAACAGCTTCAAAAAAATTATATCAAACACAATAATTAATACAGTTATTACAATGCTATTTGATATAGAGTAATATAGTTTTGAAAACCGTGTTTAACAGTCATATCGTATCATTTTTAGTAGATAAAAATACGTAAAAATATGATATGATTTATATAAAAACTACGAGAAATGGTGGGTAAACGAAGGAGTTCAGTATGTAACCAGATCATTTTCATGTTTTCCCTGCTATTGGATAATATATAAACACGATCAGAAGGGATAATTTCATTCCATCGTATTAAAAAGCATCTGGTTTTGATAATTTTTACACAGTTGGAAAAAATCAACCATGAAACTGTATTTATGAGATATTGCTTGGACCTAACAAACTCAGTTAATGATTATATATTAGGTCGACAACGAAAACCTAGTTTAGAATTTGAAACCAAAAATACTTAATAAAACGGAATTTTTAAACCTCGTAAACAAATCTTCCATTAATGGAGACTGTTCGGTCATGCTTGGAAGGAATTCCTATTGTTATGGTTCGATCAGCAAACATAAACATGCGTTATCTGTATGCCGAAATATCGAATTTGATGATCAGTTATTAATGAACAACCAAGCTAAGTAGTTGGTATGCTATCAACCAAGACATGTACGTCATAAATGAGCAATACCTGATTTATTCAGTAGACGAGAAATCGTGTGAGAATAAGAGTTAATGTCAGAAGCGTAAGAAGGGATCTGGACCCTTGATCACTTTAATCTCACCCCCACCCCATGAATTGCACTTGATACAGAAATTGATCCGGTGCATCTTATTACCGCGTTAGTGTTGATCATCAATTGGAATTGATCCAAGTATGAAGATTAAACAATCTAACGACAACAAAAGCGACCCACCAAAAAGGGAACTTAGAGAATGGATTAGTCTGCTATGCTCGCATCTTTATAACTTTTTGTAAACAAACAGTGTTTTGCTTTAAATTAAACCAAACAAACTCAATACAGTCGAAGATTGGATGGGGGAAGGGGGTGCTAAGATATATACAGACTTTCTACTGTGTATCAAGTACAAAAAAGACTGTTTTTGAGATAACATATGCTTATCTTTGCGCTGCGATGACCAAATATCTGTTTTCCGTTTTCTCAGCCTTTTTTTAACATAAAGACATGTAGTTGACTAAACGTCATTTCTTTTATTATTGTATTTTCCATTTTCATGCGCTTTTGGCGTATGGCCTACTCAATAATGGCTTACAACTATAAAATGTCATTTTGAACGTAAAATAATAAGTGTAAGAACCTCATATTGATTTCATGTAAGCATTTTTGTAACGGTTTAATCGCACCCCAATTTGATTTATACTTTTGATGCTCAAATTAAGTTTCAACGACCATCTGTAAATTGATACGTTCACATATCGAACTACTTCAAATGTTACTGTAGTTAATTTAAGAAAACATGTTATTTTTTATTTTATTCATTTTCTTCGTTGATATAATACTGTTTTATGTGATTTTTAAAAAACGATAATATTTTTTATTTTTGAATGAAATATAAATTTAAAATATATATATATATATATATATCTCAATATTAGTATTAAATTAACTATTTAAAAGTTCTCGTTTTCTATGTAATTTTTTTAATTCAAATTTTTTATTATAACTCAGATTTAGATTTAATAACAAAGTAATTTGTTTTTGTTTAATAATATAATTTTTATAAGGATGATAATTAAATATTCTGTTATAACTCAATGATTATTCTAATTTTTTTATATTTAAAATGATATTTTATCATGTATTTAATTATGTTTATCTGCAGTTAGTTATAATAAATAATACTTCATGCATAAAAGATGATTTTTAAGAATTTTTGTCAAAATCACTCATTTGATGGTGTTAATATGTGTTGATGATATAATACATTGAACTGGTTTTTATTGTTTCTAGTTTTTAGACAGATTCATACTAAGTAAGTACTCGACAAGTTCTCTGTAATCAACGGGAATTCCTTCCCCCCGAATCCAATGGAGATTTGACGGGGAAAAGGAGAGGATAAGGAGCATAAATGGGGAGCGGGTCGAGGAACAGAGGTTGCATTTTGTGTCCATTTCCATCCCTAAACGACTCTGGCCAAAATAGAAGAAACAAAAAACCGGGATATAAGACAATATCGATAAATTATTAAACTGTTTATGTCAAACTAAAACCATAAAACCGTTTAGATCTGTTTCAATTCTACATGTCTAGTCATGTATATGTACGAAATGGTGGTGTATGATTATAAATTACAGTTAAATTTGACGAAAGATTGACGTAACACGTACTTCATATCTAATATTTTGTATAGGGTTAGATAAAATACTGTCAACCCACTAATAACCCAATTAAACCAGACCTATCAAATCGTCAAACCGTTACACCGTCAATTAAGAGGGTTGAAATTGAGTTAGATCTTGCTCCATCCAACCCAACCTGTTGCTAATATATATAATTTTGATTAAAAAAATATTTATATTTATATGTAATATAATAGTCTATTATACAAATGTTGGTGGCACGATCTGAAAATAGACCCAACGTTAAAGGGTATAATTGTAAATATGTAAGTATAAAATAAGCAGTTCAGGGCAGAGTCTGTTTCATGTGTTGCCAAAAGGGCGAACGAAGCAGAGCAATTTCCGTTATCTATCCACACCAAAATTCAATCTTTTCTCAATCTCTCAATCCTTTGAATCCATCGTTTTCTCTCAATCCATATCTTCGATTTCGAGATATTTCCTTTTGTTTTCGATCTGAGGTTTTTTGGAATCGGATTATCTAGGGTTTTTTTTTGAGAATTCAACAGCCATGGTTTACGATTCGATCGCCAACGCTTCCAGCCCCACTGCAGCTTCTAACCCTAAGGAATTTGGGAAGAAAAAACGGGTACATTTCTCTTTTCGTATTCTATTTTTTGATTTTTTTTGTTGGCGTATTGTTTGATTGATGGATGGTTGCGAGAGAAACGTGTTGGTTTTTCCTTCTTAGGAAAATAGGGCGTTTGTTCTTGTTTTTCGTTGCGAATTTGACCCAAAATATTTTCGATCGTGAAGGTGAACAGGACTGCCAAATTGAAGCAATGCAAGCTTGATGTTCGTCGTGAACAGTGGCTTTCTCAAGGTAATTTTTGTTAGCTTTATGTGTTTGTGTGTGTATTTTTGAATCATGTATAATCGCTTGTTGTGCCTTGTATGTGTATATTGCTCTTATGATCAGCCTATTATTTGTTTTTCCCCTTTTTTCATTTATAGTGAAGAACAAGGGGTTTAAGGAGGAAAATAAAGGTGTTATTCGTGCGAAAATGCCTGCTGTGGACATGCATGCCCAAAATGAGGGAGAGCGATCGATGGTGAAATTGGTGATCAATCCTGGTGGTGAAGAGAATGATGGTTTGATGAATCATTACAGTGATTGGGAGTCGCCATCCAACAGCCCTACTAGTCATACCAGTAGTTTGGGCAGTAACAGGTCAGTTACTAATTTCACTGGTAGTAGTAGCAGGAGCAGCAGCAGCAGTAGTGGTGGTTGTTATTCAGGAAGTATGACAGAAGAAGATGATGGTGATGATGGGTGCTTGGATGATTGGGAGGCAGTTGCTGATGCTTTGGCAGCTGATGACATAAAAAATGATCATAACCCCAATCTGGAGTCCCCCATGGATGAACATGCTCCACAGATGGATTCACTTAACGCCTCGGAGCCAGAGCCTGTGGAGACGATCAAAGAGGATCAAGAGGACTGCCATGCACATGCGAATCGCCGTGCCTGGAGACCGGATGATGCTTTTCGTCCTCAGGGCCTGCCAAATTTGCTAAAACAGTACAGTTTCCCAATGAATTCAGAGCGGCATTATGGTGGAGGCACTGCATGGGGTTTTAAGAATGTTGGGTTTGCTCCATCAACATGTCCAATATGCTGTGAAGATCTGGATTTGACAGACTCAAGCTTTCTTCCTTGTCCGTGTGGGTACAGGCTCTGCCTTTTCTGCCACAAGAGAATTCTTGAAGATAATGGTCGTTGTCCAGGCTGCAGAAAGCAGTATGAACAGCCTGACCAGGGGAATGCGACTTCCAAACTCGATCGTTGTTACAGCATGAACCCCAGGCATTAGGAGAATTATATGCTTTCCTTGAACACGTATGGTGGGCTTCCTTTTCGTGTGTCTTTCCGTCTTTACATGTTAGAAACTGATATTAGTGCTAGGTATGTCGATAGACATCATCTCTTAGTGTTTGGGAAATACGTTCATGTAAGTTTGGTCTATAGGACCAGTTGGCTGTTGGTATGTGAATACATAAGGGCATATAGGAATCCAATACATCATTTCCACAGCATTTCAAATTGTCTTGTCCTTTGAGTTGATCCATCGTTACTAATATAATGAGTGTTTATGCTTATAATTTGATAGCTTCTCGGAATATTTCTATTGTATTCATCTATCTACTATGAATGAATATACACATTAGCATATAGAATTATAATCGCAAAATTCCCTTTGGTGCCTTGTTACTCGAGGGAATTATTGATTTCCATAGAATTTATCATCAACGGCTTCTGAAATGTATGCTTGCTTCTTATTAATCTATTCTAGCTATAGTTACCAGCAAAATGCTTATTTATCTACTCTAGATCTTTTACCTTACCTTGTTTTTGTGCATTTGTATATATAGTTTACAGATCTAAAACTAGTAGTTCATGAATAGAAAGGTCTTGTTGTGTTTGGTTATATAACAAATGACTGATGGGACAAAAGGCCATGGTTATATAAGGGATCTCTTTTATATTGCTATGATGTGGTGAAGGGAGGATATTAGGGGATGGTGTATCACAAGAAGACAGGCTTTTTGTTGAGATTTCAGTTTGTACACAACGGTAATGCTTAATCTTTGTGTTTTATAATCTTAAGTGACATTATAATTCAATTTGATTTGATTCACAGTTCGATTAATGTGTATAACGGCTCTCTATTCTTTTCACGAACTACAATCACACACAAAGGAGTTTATCGGCACAGTAGCACTTTAGTAAGTTGTCCTTCACCCCCAAGAAGGTTTCCCCTATTTCTTTGAAATGCTTGTTTACAACCTCTTTATCTGTTTATCCTTAATGATATCAACCAAGAGCATTTTCTGTTATCATGTATGAAATTTAGGCCAAGATATCTTAAACTTATTCTTGGTTACTAATCTGATGGAAATGTGATATGTTTTCAAAGATAAACTGAGAATAAGGTGGAATTAATTCCCATGGAGCATGTCTTTAACTCATGTACTACACAAAAAGTGAATAATGTCAGTCAGTCAATATTAGGGCATTCTCGCTTTGCAGGTATGCTTGTTTGCCTCTTCACATTCGCTCTGCCTTTTTGTTTTTTCACCTACAGTCCATTTGTGGTTTATGTTTACAGACTTGATGTCGACTGAATGTTAGCAGTCAATATGTTTCATTATGTTAATGTTTTCTTTAGTTGAATATCAATGGCTTATGCTGTTAATGTTAGTGTTAAATTGGTAGTGCCACTGTCAATGGTTAACCCATGTTAACATTAATATTGCATTGTTAATCAATGATCCTTTAATTGGATGTGAACACCCTTTTAATTTTAAAGTTATTAGCTTAACTTGCTTGGTTTTCAATGTGATTTAAGATGCTTACACCAACATTCCCATGTTCAATGCTTAAAAAATATTAAAACTGCAATTTTCTGTTGGGGTTATGATTGATAATTGAGGCTATTACTTCTGTGTATCGAGCATCCTCTTATTACAAAAGTTTGTGTTTAGTAACACAAATTGGGTAACCGAGTAAGTGTGCTGCATACGAGGTTCGAACTGGGTAAGCCCGACTTAAGCACTGACCAAGTCAGAAAGCAACCCCTTCCTTACTCTGTCCGCATCTTGGTCGGCATATTTGTGGGTCCGAGTGTGTTGGTAAACGACATCCCTTCTTACCAGATAAGCACCTCTTACCCAGTAGGAAGTGGTCAACAGGTAGTAAACAGCCCCTCAAGTGACTGCTAAAGATTAACCTTAGCATCTGTGTGGTTAAACGACATAACTTTGAACTCTATTGCCTTTTATATCAAGTTTGGATGTGCCCTGGCTACGGGATCTTCCTACGTGTTTATACAGGTATGGAAGGCTGCGTGGATGCTTATAGGGCCGCTTGAAGAATGACCATGAACGCTATCTGCCACCTGCAATTCTTAAGGTAACACTATTGAATTATCGTTATTTTCTAGGAATTCATAAGTTCACATGTCGGGTAGACTCGAATTGCTCTAACAAACACACAGACACAGATAAATGCATCATGGCTTTTTTCTGAATGATGTCTTTGTGATTCAACTATCTTCAGGTCTATTTATCTGCTAATTGTTTGATAGCTTCCTCCAGTAGTATCTCCTGTTAGTGATTTGTGAACTTGCTAGGAATGCAGAATTATGGGGGAATGCTGTTTGATGTGTAAATGTGTCATCTTTCTGTTAAACAAAAGAAATCAAGAAAATGTAGCAGAAATAAGCTATAATTTTAACATAAACTTTTTGGGAATTTACAGTTTAAACACACACACAGAGCTCAAACCCAAAGCGTAGTTTGGATGGTCCAATAATTTACTTACATCTATGATTGTTCTTAGGCCTAGAGTCAGGTTTGCTTACATCTTACATTGTCCAACCCCACCTCTGGCGGGATATCCTGAGTTTTGTTTCGTTTGGTTTATGATTGTTCTTAGGATGTTTCTTGCTTGAAATGGTTAAAGTTTTACCAAGATGGAACATTATAGATTAAGAGGCAGTATGATTCGTCCAATTTCTTAAGGTCTTGTTAGTCTTACGAATATTAGTAGTACAATTATGAATGGAAGACACTCCTATTATAGTAAGAGTGTAGATACAAATTGATATGGGAATGACCTAATTGTAATCGTGATTTACTTTTATCAAAGACATGTCTATAGAGTGTACGATTCATGATCGATTGTGGTGATCATATGGTAGCTCTTTCCACAACTTAGAAATCGTAGATTCTCCCCAAAACACATCCTTTTCGGGTATTTTCTCATCAAAAATCCACTTCTGGACTTGCTTTTCTATGCTCTCCAATCCCGCCTTAACCTCTTCGAGCGTCTTCTTCCGAGGTTCCTCGACCTCTTTCTTGAGTTCCTCAACCTCTGCCATGAAACTACTCTCTGAAATCGACTCGAACCCTGTAACGTTCAAGTGCTCGTACCATCGTTGTGTAAACTTGTACCTTTTCGGTCTGACTTCCATATAACCGTTCCCCTTTGAGTGTCGATAGTAATTTGCTATGTCAAGAGGCTCAACGAGCCGTCTAAACTCCGTCACCAAATCCACCCACTCCTTCCGCCCCTCGAAACCATCAGGTAGATCCTCACGCATCAGCATCTCTATAATTACATCCAATAATTTAGCCATCACCAGCCTGTTTATGTTGGCAATGAAGTCATCGTGCTGGTCTTGAAGCTTGAAGGCTTCGTAGTAATCCGTATTGCCATTGGAATGCTTTTCTTTGTACTCGCGGATTTCGTCTAGGATATCCTCGATGATCTTCTTTTCAATTTGAGTTCCTTCAGATCTCATCTGTTTCGGTCCATATTTTCGCATGGAGGCGTCAATCAGCTTCTCGTTTTCTTTCTTCCTATTCTCCGCCTCTTCGGCTGCCACTAGACACCATTTCGCTTCTGCACTCTGCGAGAACAGGAATCGTAAAGTTCAGCAACCCAAAAATAACATAAAAAATGTAAGAATATGTGGAACCCTTGTTAGGTTACTCTCCAAAAGAATCCTTAAAAGACAGAGAGGTTCCAATATATAAAGAGTAGAAACGGTCCAAATTTAGCCAATGTGGGAGTCTAACACTCCCCCTCCAACGGGAGCTAGATGGGCATAGATTGTTTTAGCGTGTCGAGACTCGAGAGGGGGATAAACAAGTACAAGTGCCCCAGAGTCTTTGACTCCGTAGAGTAGTAGATCTTTGCTCTGATACCATGTGAGAATATGTGGAACCTAGATTACTCTCTGAGAAAGATATCAAGGAGAGAAGTGAGGTTCCAAACATATATTCTGTAGAAATGGTCGAAATTTAGCTGCTGTGAGATATACATATATATATATAGGACAAATGGTCTAAGTTTAGCTAATGTGAGACTTTAACGAAGAAGAAGACGAACTTGATTTCATCAGTACTCACCAGTTCAAATAAAGCTTTGTTACTAGCTGCATCACTTTTAGTACGATCGTGAGTCAACAGGTGACCGTTAAGGTCTTTCAGATCAACCGAGTTCTGCCACTGCAATCTGTTCTTTAGTTCTTCTTCATAACTCAAACTTTCGGCTAAACTGTTAAGAGCAAAATCAGCTAGATTTTGATGCTCATTCGTCAACTGCAAGAAATAGAACAGCAACTGTAGAACGGCATTTGGGTTATTAACAACAAGCTGTTGGCTTTCATCTCGATTGTGGAAAACGTAAGTACCAAAGGGTCTGTAAGGCGAGACTTTTACATAGTCAACAGATAACTTTTCCGTTAGAGAACTTGTAGGTTCCATAAGATCAAATGCAGCACGCCTTGCAACAATTGATGCCTTGATCATCACATTTTCAAAGAATGTAACTGCTTGATCAGCTTTTACTGATTGATCACGAGGGACAGGTTTTTTCGGAGTCGGGTGGAAAAATTTAGGAAATTTGTGGGATTTCTGATCGTCGGAGTTGACTTTGGTGTTGACTTTTTGTTGGAAAGATTTGAGAATATTGGGTAGATGTTCTTGAACGGATATCTTGGGAGCTAGCATCAGACGAGGAACAATGTCGTGTTCCATGACGAAATGGGTGAAACGAGCAGCCCAATTCCGTCGGACCGCGTGAGAGAGGTTTCTGTCGCCGATGAGCGGAGACCCAAAAGTTACACAATGAATCGGAACTTGGATTCTTTGTTTTCTTGCATATTCTTCAAGAATCCAGAGTGTGGCAAAACTTGCTATAGCACCACCAGATGAATGTCCTGTTAATAAAATCTTGTTACCTTCCTTCACAGCTTTCTCTACCTGGAAATTTACAGTTTGACTTTGAGGTCATCGCTCTTCCTGTTTGAATTCAGAATTCTTTTTGAATTTCACCAAAGATTTTAACAAGAAATGCATTCCATTCAGATGTTTTCTTCCAAAATCTGTTCTAGAGCAAAGTTTCACAAAAATTCAAAGATTCCCCTATTGATCTTAGAGTCGAAAACCATTCTCTTTGACTTACAGTCAAACTTTATTCATTTAGGGTGCGTTTGGCTCCAGAAACGGATAGGACTATACGAACACGAGTGAGCTAGATGGGTGAAAGAATCCCGGAAGGTTTTAGAGTTTTTATTTGACATGGGTAGCTTAGTAATTTACCAATCATGTTGTGATAGAGACTCTGAAGAACCTCTTGAAGAACCAAGTTTATATCAACCGAAAAGAAAAGAAAATATGAGAAATCGAAAGTGTAGTATACCTCCATTCGAAACCGTGAGTTCGTCAAAAGATCTTGAAATCTTTGAAGAAATGCTTTGTTGACTTTTGCAAGTCGACCCTCTCCGATACGCTGGAGAGACGGAAACAGATTATGATCAACATCTGTTTCACCGAAATCATCATCAGCGTACCAATCTTCGACTTCCCATGATCCTTTAAATGCAAAGATCAAAACCTCCATCCTTGATGATGATGATGATGCCATACCATGTTTCTTGTACTGTTGGCTGTGTTTATGAGCTTCCATGGATTGAAACTGAGCAGCTCTGATAAGCTCATCACTCAGATCCTGTGCCATTGATTCTGCCATTTTCTCTGTGTAAAACACAAACTAAAAGCACACAGTTTGTAAGTTGTCTTATGTCTTATTGGCCTGGGTGGGGTGTAGTTATCAAGAAAACAAGAAAGTAGAATAGTTATATCTTAATACACTTGTGCTCTTGTTTCCTGGAAATTGTTTAAAATACCCCTCAATTTACTTTAATCAGATGACATTTTAGTAATTTGCAAAATCTACTTTTTATGAATATAATATTCATAAAATTAAACCGGTTGTTAAAATGTTGACATGACAAGTAGCATTTTAACCAGTAATGTAAATAACATTTTACCGACAGTTATTTTATGAATATTAAATTCTGAAAAAGTAGGGTTTTTTTTTAGTTTACTTGGACTATTTTGATGAATACTTTTTGCTTGTAGACTTCAAGGAAGTTTCCACGGCAATGGGTTTATTTTATTATTTCTTATTTATTATTTATTATTATGTTTATATTTCTTATGTTTCTAGTTTGAGCTATTTCAATTGTCTTTTAGGTCATTCTTTTATTCTGTTTTTATTTTATTTTATTGTATATTATTAATTTTAATTTATTTAATTAAAAGTGTTTTTAAAGACCCATCGACTTGGTTGATGGTGGTGGAAATGGAATGGATTACACTAAATATAACTATACAAGGCAGAATAGTCTTTTTTTTGGATTTGGGAATTTAAATTTGAATTCCGTTTTAAAACTCAAAGAATGAACCAAATTTAACGTCTTAATCTCGAGTCTATTGATCGGGCGAGAGTTTTGGTATTTTCTCATCAGAAAAACTTTGTTTATGTATAGTTTAATAGGATTAGTGGTCTCGAAGACTTGTTTGTTTAGCCATTCAGGAGTGTTTCTTTCTGGCTTGATCATCAAAGCCAAAAGGGCTATATGAAATAAGCATGGATCTCTCACTTGTCTTATTTTTAGCTGTCTCAAACAAATTAATGTCCAAGAAATAATCGAATCCTCTCTTTTTGTCTCCCTCAAACCCATCGGTCTCGTATCTCTCAGTAAGACAGATAGTTTAACTCATACAAAGTAAACAGCCTCTAAAGGACAAAATTTTACACGTAAAATGAAAATGTGAGAATTCGAAAACGTGGGTATTTGCGTTTATGAGCTTCTTTGATAAGCTCATCATTCAGATTCAGTTCCAGTGGTTCAGCCATTTTCACTCTCTAAAAGGACACAGTTGAATATGTGTTGTTTATAAAGAAAACAAAAATGGGAAGAGCAGGAAAGTGGGTGGAATGTGATGTGAGGAGGGTTCAAATGTATGGCCATAATTTAATAGCCCACAAGACCTTTTGTGGATTCACACCACTCCATGGTCACGACTTTTGAGCCATTTTCAATTTGGCTTAGCTTCAGAAATTGCATGGCACGGACGTCCGTATAAATGCCCAAATGATAATTGTTTCAAAACGGGAAGGACAATTTATTTTAGGGCAAATTGTATGAAAAAATAACATATTTTAACTTGATTCTTATTTTGGATAACGTATTCTTAAAACTTCCATTTGTTAGATGTAAAGTTTTAAACATTTAGGTAGTGTTTGGTACGCAGACTGGATGGGACAGGACAGGATAGGACGGGACATGATTAATTGTATGTCCTATGTTTGGTACGACTAGGATATGGCGGGACAAAACTATTAAAATGACCATATTACCACTAAATGTTGTTCAATGTTATTTTATATCATATAATAATTGTAAAATGACAACAAATCAATCAAAATATTGTCATTTTAACTTTAGTCCCATGTTGTTCCACCTTTTTTGGTGGAACAAAAAAAATCAAGATTTGTCCCACTAAAATTAAAAATAGTCTCACCTTGTCCCATGTTTTTTTTGTCCATGGCATGCCAAACATGAGACTATTTTTTTGTCTCGTCCTGTTTCATGTAGTCTGCATACCAAATGCACCCTTAAGTACCCGAGTAACCGGTTAGTGTGGCGAGTGATGTGATATCCAACTCAGTATTCATTGTTGACGTGGTTAGCCACATAGATTTTTTTAATTTAAAATTAATCTTTTTTTTAATCTAAAATTAATCTTCAATCGGTTACTCGGGTACTTGAATATTTAAAACTTTACATTTTAGGTACCAAAATAGAAATTTTAAAAGTATAATACCTAAAATAGGAATTAAGTTAAAGTACGTTACTTTTTCGTACAATTTGCCCAAAATAAAAAATAAATATATGTACTATATTATAAAACATTTGATAAAAACTCTTAAAAACCATTTTGTATGCATATTACTTAAAATTCAAGATTACAAATAAATTATGCATAAGTACAACTTATTAAAACTTATTATTTGAATTCGTGTAACTAACTGCAGATAAACATAATCAAATAAAAAATAAATATCTCATTTTAAATATAAAAAATCAAAAATATAATTAGGATAATCATTGAGTTCTAACAAAATACTTAATTATTATTTATATAAAAAATTATATTATTAAACTAAAAATAAAAAATGAATTAAAGAAATACACAAAAAATGAGAAATTTTAAATAGTTAGTTTGATACTAATATCAATAAAAAAAAAATTTCAATTTTTATATTTTACTCAAAAATAAAAATGTTATCGCTTTCTCAAACCATATAAAATTATATTATAATATCGACTGAAACAAAAAAAACGAAACATTAAAATCGAGATGTATCTCGCTACATTGTACGAGTACCATTCTAATTCAATTAAAAGACACTAATTCAATTTCAAAGAAGCATGACAATTGCCAAACGTATTCAACACGTCCCATAACCTAATGGGAAATTAGACCCTTTCTTGTGAATTAACCACGCAACTTCTAAGGGACCCAATTAGATTTGAGAACCCCATGAAGATTTGAAGTTGATATTTTTAGTATTCGATTGAATAAGAAATAAATAAGAATATTGATTTGACTTGTACTGATTAAGAGAATGGAAGAAAACTGCTACTCAATCAAAAACTCATTATCAAACTGAAATGCTTATGATCGTGTCAATGCCTCAATGGCTTCTAATAAACTGCTCGAGACAAATCTGATATTGAAAAAAAAATATATCTAGTTTTAATCATGATTATTCATACTGTTTAATTTTACCATAGCTTGACAAAGATGATGTAGTTTTAATTATTATTATTATTATACATAGACTTGAAATCATGTGAGACCAGACTGTTTTCGTGAAACGCGTGATATAATATTTTTACACTTGAAACTTCACAACAAACATTATAAATGTGATCTTCATAGTGTTGATAAATATTATCGAATACAAATTAACTTACATTTTGTATTAATTTGTATTGGATATTGGTCATGCATTAGGGGTGGCTAGGCACGGCTTGTCCCCCATGATTGCGAGTGGAAGCAATGCGAGGAGTTTGAATTGTGTAAGTTGTAAGGTTTGAAAAAAGTAAAACTGAATTCTTTCTAACAATTGGTGTAACTTATTTAGGTTAAAAACTCGTTTTTAATATCAAGGTGATTTGTTTATTTAAATAATAACATTTCGAGAATTAATTACTTAAAAAGTGATAAAATTCAGTTGAGGTGGTGTTAAAAATAGTTTATTTTCTGCAACTTTTGGTTGAAAAGAAATTGAAAGAGTTTTTAAGCTAAAAATAAAAGTGAAGAGTGGCGATAACTTGAAGGGGTTGAAAAAGTTAGAGAGAGGGTCCCACTGCCAATTAGATTCATTTGAGACTTCAACTCCAACAAATCTGTGGGTAAGGGCCCCCTTTGGATTTCCCTTGTTTGATTCTTCAATACAACCCACCTTTTCCTTTTCCTTTTTTCTTTACTTTACGATTCTTCCAATTCAACATTTCCTTTTTCATTTTTTCAATATAAAACGATAAAAAAAAAATACAATAATTTGAACTATCACATCAATGTTATTGTCGACTCTTGTTTAACTTAATATGTTCTTACGATATAATATAAAATAAAACATAATTATTTACAATGAAATTAAAACGTTCAAATGATTAGATATAAAATCATTTAAAGGGTTTTACTCAATTAGAATAAGGTTAATATTTTAAAAGCGTTTTTAAAATATTAAATGAATCTGCCTCTATTCAAAATCATTATTCAACTCATAAATAATCTTAAATAAAAAAGTAGGTTATATAGAAAATATAAACTGATTATTATAACTTCAATTAGCAATAACTAAAATAACTACTTTTTACGTCGCACATTCAAATGCCCTCTTAAAATCGCTCATAAATAACACTATGATTCTTGAAAAGTATTACACCTACATTGTAATGATGGAAGAACAACGCTTACAACGAGAACATATGTCATTTGACCTAAATCGATCCTGCCATGGGATGTTAAGGTAACGTATACATTGTTTGTAGCGTATTCAAAACAAATTGAACTAGGTTCGTCAAAAAGGGGGCATCGGTTAGATCCAGATATTAACAAAAAAGAATTTGTACAACGGAGGGTTGTACCACTACAATCTAGCTCGCTTCTCTAACGAGTGTTGAGGTGAAGCTGGTGGAGGTGTGTGGCAATCGATGGATGTTGGTAACGGTGATTGATCACGTTTATGTTTTCTCTTATTGGTTTGTATGCCCGTAATCTCACCAGATCCGGATTTTAAGATGGAGTTCTTCAAGCGTGTAACATCCGAGAGCTTCACCGGTTTCAGTAGATAGTCCTCAGCCCCTTCTTCCAAACATCTGTTTTAATCACAAGGGAAAGTTTAGGTCTGAAGGAAGGACATACAGATTTGCTACCTTATTCATCTGACATGCCCATGGGTCCTATTTAAAAAAGTCTGTTCTCCTAAAAACTTAAAAAGGGTTATTTTGTAAAACCAAGTTCCCAAAAATATCACTAGGCTTTAAATAAATAGCCATAAAACAAATCAAGAATCAACAAAAACGAGATGGGGTTTTTAATATATTTTTGTGTTGAATATTTTAAGTATTCATCTATCTTTGATTTATGGATAGTTTATTAGATCATTGGATTTTGATGTGTTGATTTCTATAAATGAATCGAATCCGAATCGAATCAAATCAAATCTACTATTTCACCCAACCCAATAACAATACTAATCCAAACCATTGAACGATAAAATATATCTGGTCCTGGTTCAAAAAAGTTGCCAATTGAACTCATATAAAAGTTATTGGAACTTGATTGGTCTTGTATTACTATATAATTTATTGACAAAATAATTGAATTTTATTATACTGAAAGTAACAATCCAATCTCTTTATAAATAAAGATAAATAAACCATATATTAAGTCTACAGTGTTAAATTCATATGCATGGTATTAAACAAATCTATTAGTTTACTTTCAGTTTCAATTATTTATGGTAAAAGTTTGAAACCGAATATGAATTGATTGATAGAAGTACGAGAAATGAATAAGGACGTTGATGAACAAATCAGTTGATAGATGGACTGAAATCATACCGGTCGATGCGTGTAAGACTATTCTCAGATGACATGATAACAACTGGTATCTCTCTCAGTGTTGAAGAATTCTGTTGAATGATGAACATGAAAACTTAATTAATATTCCATTCAATTGATGCAGATACAAGAATCAAATGAAAGCAAAAAACAACCACAAACCTTGATTTTCTTGAGCAGTTCAAATCCTGTCATTCCAGGCATGGAATAATCTGTCATTATCAGATTCACCTTCAAATCCTGGAGTTCGAAGCGAATCAGATTCGTTTCAATATGAATATATTGCGGTTTAATTATAAAGAAATTATTCACTAAATCAATGGAGAACTTGAAACTCGAAACGATTGAATTTCTTAAAGAACTTCATAACCGAAAACACGAATATAAATATGTTTCGCTTTAATTAGAAAGAAATTATCAACCAAATCAATGAAGAACTCAAAACGTTTGAATTGCTTAAAACATTCCAGAACCGAAAACACGAATCGAATTAAATTCAATGGAACTTAAGCCTAGATCAATTTCGATTTGAAATTAGCACCGCTTACATCGAATCGATCGGAGTTCTTGTCTTCATCCAAACCGAGATACTGTAAAGCTCGGCTTCCACTTTCAACAACCGTAACTGAAAAACCTCCAGAAATTTCAAAACGAAATTCAACCTATAATATAATACCATATCAAAGAATTCCTAATCAAACGTACCTTTGAAAGAAGAGATCTGGAGAAGCCTCTGGATAACCTTCCGGTCGATATTGCTATCGTCAACGGCGAGAACATGCAAGTCTTTACAATCGTTGATCATGTCGAATTGAAGGAGAAAGATCTGTAGAATCTAGAGACAAGAGACAGCACAGAAATGGAAAATGGAGGTTTTGATGAGAGTAGTTGAGAGAATTGCCATTTATAGGGTGGGTGGGGGCAAAATCTACTTTAAAGAAGCAAAAAGACTAAAAGCAGAGATCTTGAGATCTTTGGCAAATCTGAAATCATGATCCCACTTGTCTCATTTGTCACCTATTTCCTCTTTTTCATTATTTTTACACATTAAATGTATTCACCCCTCAAATATCAGTATTTATCAAATACTTAGCTCGTAAATGCTTACCGGTAAAATTTAACTCTATTATTTACTTATCGGGTAAAATTTTAGTCCAGCAAAACGACATCGTATGCAACAATTTACCCGGTACACACTTACCGTTGTAAGAGGAGTCGTCCTCACTTACCGGGTAAGATTCATTGTTCTTGCCTTGCTTTTACCGTGTAAGATTATTGGTCCTTACCAAATGGCATTTGGCCTAGCGGTATATAAATCATTGGCCTTCTAGGAGGTCAAGAGTTCAAAGCTCACCAAAGATGAGGAGGGTGTGTGAGTTTATTTGTTCTATTTACCGTATATAAATATTATATACTTCAAAAAAGAAAGATTATTGGTCCTTACATATTCATCTCGGTGAGTTAACGTAACTTAGTAAACGCTTACTCGGCCCTCAGATATAAAAAATATTGTTTATTTTAAAAAATAAAATAAAAAATGAGTTAAATAGAAACAAAAATGATGGTTGATGCATGCACATCATCATATTTGTTTGAATGGAGACAATGCATCTTTTAGTGGTCCATAACGTTGACAAGTCAACAAAAGATATCAAAAATTCCTATTTAGACACAATCAATTATTCTTACACTATTCAAGATTTCTTGTTTCAATATTTTTTTATTTTTAAAAATAAATACCATCTTTAACTAATTCACCAAAAGATACCTTTGAAATCTTTTTTTTTGAAAGGCAAAAAGGAAGGACAAGGAAGAGAGCTTCGGCATGGCCATCACCCTCACCAAGCCAACCAATAGATAAAAAACGGGTCCAGCAAGAAGCTAGACGCAAGCAGAAACAAGAGTCCAATACAACGAAACAATAACAAAAGGGAACAAGACCAAAAAGACCTCAA